GAGGAAGAGTTTGAGTTAGAAGAAGAGAACGAGGGACTAAAAGACAAAAACTTAAAGGAAGCTCCTCGAGGACCGAATGACAGCACAGAGAAAAACAAGGATGGAAAGACGGAGTTGAGTGTCGACGCACAGCTGGAAAAACGCTCTTTTGGCTGTAATACGAGTGTTTCTGGAGCTGACGACCTCGATGAGATGATGGACATCGGTGCAGTGGACGAGGTGGAACAAGAAGCCCAGATGAAAGAGGAGGAAGAGAATAGTTCAATGGATGTGGATAACAGCCGTTCAGGTAAAGTTTGGCTTGCCGATCACTTTTATCACCAAAAGAAAAAGAGTTCATTGATGAAGCAAAAGTTCAGTTTTTTGCAGCACAACACGGATGTACTCTGCAAACTTGTCTGTAGGTTATCCAACTTATCTTAGTTTGTGACCAAACAACTTAGCCTGCTTGTCTTGACTCTGTTCCCCTTGCACCCACACACACACAGCACACATACCTGCTCCTCTCCTTCCTTCACATCCCACCGTACCTCATTCGCTCAGTTAATTGTGTGACTTAGCCAATATGCACGAGCAAGACATTACAGACGCTTAACTACATTTCCCACATTTTAAAAATGTTTCTAGGGATGTAACGATTCACTCAACTCACGATTTATTTCACAAAATGAGACTGTAGACAAATGATGACTGATAAAGATTCCTTTAGTGGCTTCTAACCCGCTTGTCAGTGTGGTTTGGCAAGTGTGGTTTTCTCTCAACAAGGGGAGGTGATTGGAGCTTCTCATTAAATGCTGCATCCTGTTGGTTGCTCTATTTGTGTAGTTCTCTGTCTTCTTGTAATATTTGCTCACAGTTTTTGTCTCATCTGTTATCTTCTCACCTCTTTCTAAAAGGCGGTGGGTGACTCAATTGCTAAATCTTGCTCTGCAGCTGCTTGACGCTCACCGTATTACTGCGATTCATTTCTCGGAGTACCGATGTGAATCTTGACACCTTTGAATCGATTAATCACGATTTGACGATTCATTTTTACATCCCCAGAAGCTTCAGTTTAAAAATGAGACGTAGCAAACGTCTAACTCTGTTTTTTCTCGCTCGCTCTCTTGTCTTTGCATCTCTTGTGTGCTGTGATTTTGAAGATAATCCAAAAAACAACACAGCCCCTAAATGGATATCTGTCATTCCTTTGCCTGTACTGATGCTGGTGTCACACAGACTTTTATTGTAGAGTAGTCATGGAAACGAGAAAATTGAGGTTTTCAATTTGAATCAAACAAGCACAAAATGCACCTGGCTTTGTCTGTAAGTTATTTTAAAGGAGTGAATGGAAGAAAATCAGCGTAGAGATGGCTTTTCATCCACCTGCTCTGCTTTAACAGAGCAGCCTCATTGTTCTGCACGCTTTACTGTCATGGTTCATCGGCCTCTTAACTGGATCAACGAGTGCCACCAGCTGCTAATCTTGATCCTCCAGCTGCTAATTCTATCATAACTGAAAAGGTTTTCAACAGGTTGTTATATTTCTGTTGAAAACCAGATTTAGAACCACTAACTTGTTTATTTTTCCTGAAGCCCTCTTAATTTCTGCATTCTCAACATGTCCTCACAGCGTCTTTGGCAGGGGACAGCAACTCTGTGGAGGAGGAAGCTGATGTGAAGCCCACCGTGTTACCATCGACTTCAGAAGAGGAAAAAGTGCAGAAAGTCAAAAAAGCTCTGGACTCGACGCAGTCAAGCTCGTCTCCATCGTCTCAGGCCACAGCCAGCACAGGTGAGTCACCTGAAGAGCATCGAACAGCTGTTCTCTTCAGGAGGTTAACTCACACCTTCACTCTTAACTCACACTATAGACAGTAAACGATCCCAAAAAGTTAGTTATTTCTGACGTTGTACCTTTGTTAAAAGTTTCATAATGTCTGTTTCTTTTAGGGAGGGACAGCTCATCACCAGCAACCGTGATGAATGGGATGAAAGTCGTGAAGCTGTCACAACCTCGATTTGACAAAGTAAGTAAATTCTGCCTTTCTGGTTTTAACAGGCGACATCACATCACTCTTGTCCTCGCTTCCCTCCTCTGGCGTCCTGTCACTTCCTGATTTTACTGATCACTTTAAAGCTCGTCTTTGTCTCTCCCTGTGTTGATGTTTTTTTTGTAGACGTCTCTCTCTTGCCTGAATGTTGAGTTTACGTCATTGCTTTGTCCGTCAAAGCACTTTCTAAACATCTGTTTTTAAAGGTGCTATATAAATGAAGTTATTATTCTAGTTATTTAAAAACAGGCTTGTGGTTAAAGGTGTACCTTCACTGCTGTTTCTCAGATGTCTGATTCCAATTTGTCCAGTTTCAGCCTGACAGAAAGAAGTCAATAACAAAGTTTTTCTTCCTGTTGTAGGAAAGGTTACGTTCTTCGTCTCAGCCCGTCCCTTCCTCTCCATCACCGCCTCTGGTGAAGGTGAAGGATGAGCCGGTAGACGAAGAGTACGAACTGGCTCAGATGTCCTCGACGCCTTATTTAAAAACAGGCTTGTGGTTAAAGGTGTACCTTCACTGCTGTTTCTCAGATGTCTGATTCCAATTTGTCCAGTTTCAGCCTGACAGAAAGAAGTCAATAACAAAGTTTTTCTTTCTTTTTCTTCCTGTTGTAGGAAAGGTTACGTTCTTCGTCTCAGCCCGTCCCTTCCTCTCCATCACCGCCTCTGGTGAAGGTGAAGGATGAGCCGGTAGACGAAGAGTACGAACTGGCTCAGATGTCCTCGACGCCTTCGGCCAGCGTGAAGGACGAGCCCAACACGGCAAAGGTGTGAAGAAAACATCCATCTGAAGTTTCAAACATTCAGCCATTTACATCATACATCAGTCTCAGGGCGAGGAGGGTTTTGTAGGTGATAGTAAGGAGTTTGAGGTGGCTACGCGGGGCGATGGGGAGCCAGTGGGGGGTTATGAAGTACGGGGGTGGGGGCCTGTCAGTCGTGCCCATGGGGATGAAAAAAGCAAAACATTTTCATAGCTTTTTACATGTTGCATATGTTAAAGGTTAAATGACCTTCAGTCAGGATCGAATGAATCCAGAATCTCTGATCGCAGCGTTTTTATTGACAGGAGGACTTGAGGATCGGCTCGGTGTTCTCCGTGACTCCAGCTGCAGAATCTCCGTCGCTGCCCGTCATCAACCCCCCGTCGGCGCTCATGTACTGTTCCAACTGCAAGAAGTTGCTTTCAAAAGGACAGACGGCGTTCCAGAAGAAGGGGAACCCGGCGCTCTTCTGCTCCACCTCCTGCCTCACCACGTCTCTCCCCACGGGCCTCGGACACACAAAGATCTGCCACAACTGCCAGAAGTGAGTCGAACTCAAAACAATTCAGAACCTGCGCTGGACTCGTTCATATGAGACACGGCTGATGTAAATTAGTGTTCTTGAATCGGTGACAGAAACTGCAAACATCGCCTCTCTATTTATACAGAAAAGTAAATATTGTACATCTATAGATGATCTGCTGTCAGAATTTAAAAACCAAACCTCTAACCAACCGTGTTTATCTCGTCCTTCCTCGTCCCCTCAGGTTGATATTGCGGCCGCAGGACGTCATTCTGGCTCCAGATAACAAAGGAGCCATGAAGGAGTTCTGCAGTCAGACCTGCCTCACCGCCTTTAACTTCAAGAAAAACCCGGCGCCCTTCAAGGTGTTCCCCAACAGCCCAGAAACCACTCAGCCAGCAGCACCGCCGTCCCTCTGCAGCATGTGCACCAGATTCGGTGTGGTAAGTCAAACAGAACCGTCTTCCTACATGATGGAGATTTGATCTGTCAAATAAGACTCACTGATCTTCTGTGCCCCCCGCAGAGCAAACATGAGGTGATCCTGAGCGGCTCTGTCCACAAGCTCTGCAGCGACGCCTGCTTTAACCGCTTCCGCACAGTCAACAACCTCGCCATGGCCGGCTGTGCCAACTGCGGCTCGTATTGCCACAACAAACCCATCATGCTGAAGCTGGAGGACAGCAACAAAACTCTGTGCAACCTCGACTGTCTGGCCAAGTACAAACAGGTATGAAGAATGTAAGCTGGACGTAGCTTTCTGTTTGAAGAAGAAGAGAAAAGTAAAACTACATTTCTCTGTTTTCGTCAACATTACTGAGGGTCAGCTTGACCCGTTTGAATCAACGTTTGAGTGTTGACTATTGACCAAAAATAAACAAACAGATTGTTAGCAAACGTTAAGTTTGAGCTCCATTCATGGGGGCGGCAGCAGCTCAGGCTGTAGGGACTTAGGAACTGAAAGGTCGCCGGTTCAAATATGTACCATTACCATAACTAGACTTGACATATGCTGTATTTTTTAAATTAGAAAACAAAGACAACCCTGGCATGTGCGATGTGTCGAACCCCCCGGCCGCTGGTAGAAATGGTCGACAACAAAAACCGAGACGATTCGGTGAACCTCTTCTGTAGCAGCAGCTGTGTGATGGCGTACAAGGTCCAGACCGTCAGCGCGTCAGGTACGGCGAGTTGATTCTTCATGTTCATGCTCTCTGTTGGATCGGTTTCTGTTTCTATAAAACTCTCTGCTGTTCCACAGGTTCTCGGATGAATTGTGACAACTGTGGGAAGAACACGGTTCCTGCTTACCACCTGGCCATGTCGGATACCTCCATCAGGAACTTCTGCACTCTTCCCTGCGTCATGGCTTTTCAGGTAAAGAGGGGTGACGCATAAGAGGTACGGGTGTGGGGCTGGATAAACTCACTTATCTTTGTGTTGTTTTATCTCGTTCTTGGATTTGATTCCCTCGTATTTTTTTTTGTTTTGTTTCATCATCTGTGAATCTCCTTCTGGGTTATACTCTTAAAACTCATCCTCATCCATTCATAACACGGTTCTCTTAAATGTAGGCATGGTTGTTTCAGGTAGGAGTTGGTAAAATCAGCAATGTAACTATTGGGAAGTCATATCGAATAAAGAGTCCAAAGATATAAATCTGCAGCCCGTTGATGGTACATTCAACGGATTTGCACGCCGACATTTTAAGAAATTATTTAAAATAATTTGGCCTTTTCAGTTCCACAAACTCAAAAAACAACCGTTATAAATTATCTTCTTTACTGACAATGTCCCGAGAAGACAAATAAGTGAAAAAAACCTCCATCCACCTTCTCTTTATTTTCACCATAGTCAAATTCAACTCACAGCCCCCCCCTCACTCTGTTTTCTGTTTTTTTTTCTGCGCAGGAAAAGTTCAAGAAGTCCCAGAAGCAGGTGAATGTTTTCACCAAGCTGCCGATCGGATCCACACAAATCCAGCCCGTCGAGCCTCTGCTGCCTCAGCATGACGTCCCCAAAGGATCACAGAAACTGAACTGTGCCCAGTGCAAAAGCAACATAACCTTCAAACCTGAAGTCATCCAGATCAAGGTAACTTTTAAAAATAAGCTCCAATGTGAGTTTGGGCTCTTATTTCCCCCGACACTTTTTAATTAAAATTGTATTCTTTAAAAACCTTTTAAAGACACAAACAAAAAAAACATTTAATATCAGTTTTGCACTGCGTAGCTTCAGTACTTTTCAAATTCCATGTGGGACTCAATAGCTTTAAATCCTTTTGTCCAAAGATTTTTAGCATATCTTGCAAGTCGCTGCTGTCTGTGCCAGTCACCGCTACGACCATGGTGCACGTAAATTAAACGGCTGCAAGGCAGATCTATTCTCGTCATAGCATAACGTTTAAACTACAACACTTAAAACGTTTTGATCCACTAATGAAGAAGTACAATGATTGACTACAAATTTTAGTTTTGCATTTGGCTCTGACATTTGTTGTGCTTTTCTCTGAGCTGTTTAAAAAATCATTTTAAAGGAACGTTTAGTGAGAGGACTTTTGCAGAAGTCTCAGTTGGTTTTAACTCGGTGTATCTTAAAAAACATGCCAACAAGTGTTTCTACATTTTGTAGCGTCTGTTTTCACGGTCACCATCCAAGTCAAAGCGGAATATTAAGTGTCTGCGATCGAGAAAAAAAAACTATACAAATTAAAAATTACACTCTAAATGCAAGAGCTGTGTGACATTGTTTAAGCTGCAAATGTCGATGAATAAAAGTCTTATCTAAATATATTGCCACAAGGACAATCTCAGCCCTGAGAGTTATGAAGACGTGATGTACTCACTGACCAATGTTTAATCTCTGTATTTAGAATTTATCGTTAAAAACAGCTCTATATAATAATAATAATAATAATAATAATAACCTAAATTTGTGGTGCACTCTTCAAAATCGAGTTACAAAGTTCTCTTCAAGGTCAGCAATAAAACAAATTTAAAAACGGGCATGTTGTAGAATAAAGGTCCCGACACACCAAGGAGATCGTCGCCCTAGTCTTTGCTGTGTGTCCGGCTCCTTCGCTACCCATCGGCCTTTTTTCGGGCCGATCCAAAATGTTGAATGTTGTTGGCCGGCGTGATTGGTGAGAGGAATCTCTCCGATCGGCTGCTCAGCTAAGCGAATCGGTGCACGAGAAGAAAAACGGAAGTGATGAAAGCAACTAAACGACTTCAGTCGAGAGGGCACACTACCATGGATGTAATAAGAAGGCGCACACATGGACCGCTTATCTCACATGTGTCATCATCTCATCTGATCACAATATTTTATTAGAACAACACGGCGTTCTGGACGGTAGAAACAGAAGAACAGCTGATCGCAATGATCCAGGAGAGGCCATCTCTGTACGACATCACAGAGAAACGTTATGCCAACCGAGAGGTTAAAACGGCACTGTGGCTCGAGATCGTAAATAAAATGATTATATCAGGTAAGATTTTCTTCATCGTCACTGAGATCTTTCTTTATTGTTTGTGTTATTGTTAAATACCCTTAAAGGTCCCATATTATGCTTTTTCTGGTTTATATGCTCTTTAGTGTGTTTTCCAAGTGTCCTGTGCATGTTTAGGCACATCTATGTGCAAAAATTCAAAGTCCGCAGAAACGCGGCTTCTCCTACGTCCTCCTGTTAGCTGTAGCTGCATGTAACGCTCGGTTCTAGCCCCCCTCGATAAAGTCAGTCCGACGTCATTGTCAGTGTGAGATCACTGATCTAAGCTCATTGGCTCGTTGTGGCCCAGCAGCTCATGTTGCACGCCCGTTAACTTCTGTAGCACGCCCACGATATGCCGTAGCCTACGGTAGCACAGTAGTGCTAAGGTGCTAATGTTTACGCTCCCCTCGGACGGAGCCAGTGGCTGCATTCCCAATATGGTAAAAGAGGCGGGACATTTCCGAGAACCGTGCTGAGCAACTGACCAATAACGACAGAGCGGATCGGCAGACCAATCAGAGCAGACTTGGCCCACGTGGGGTCTAACAGTGTGGGCTCAACAGAGTGTAGCTGACGGACTCAGAGCGGAGAGGGAGCCAGGAGGAGCAGTACATGAAAACAGACACTTTTTTTTAACTTCAGCTATTGTGAATGTACAAAAGTAGGTACATAGATTAAATATACAAACCCCAAAAAGGGCATAATATGGGCTCTTTAAAGGAAGAATATGCGACTTTTTGATCCAGTGAGCACTAGCATGAAACCAAAACAACTACGATCTTTATTATGCGCGTATCTTCACACTGCGTGTAAATTTACACTAAATGACGCGATCAAATAAGCAGGGAGTACAGTATGTTATTCTTCTTTTCTCTAGTCCCTCAATTAAACAACAAACATCACAGATAGCGGGACTCGGGTTTCACACTCATTGTAGACAGTCATTACTCAGAGTTATTTTCAGAGGATATACTTGATTTCTGCTAAATTTAAGTGTGAAAAATCGCATATTCTTCCTTTAACGTTATTCTCTCAACCTCGGTTTGTGTTGAAGTGCTATAACTAGCAAACTTTGTATACATTTGAGTATTAACGCTAATGTAAAATTGTGCCATTTACTAACTAAACATTTTGCTGTTTGACTCCTTTGTATGAGTTTTTCTACGCTGTGGAAATGCTACTTTAACTTATGTAGAATATCTTAATCCACCACTGAAAATAGCCTTTGTTGGCACTGCGTATAGACATGATTTGGACGTGGGCACAATATTTAAAAATGCGTCTTTGTCTCACAGAGAAAGAGCTCAAGAAGAGGTGGGATTCTCTGAGAACCCAGTACGCCCGCTACAAGCGACTTGCTCCACCTGGAGGCTCTGGAGCCCAGAAGAGTAGCAGGCAGCAGTGGATCTTGAACCGGCTGCAGTTTTTGGAGCCACACACAAAGAGGAGGAAGACCCGTTCAAATCGTGCTATCAGGGTAAATTAACTATTCAGTAAAATAAAACATTGTTTCTTGCTTCTTTCATTTACTTATGTAAAGTCACTTTGGGTAAAAGTATCTGCTACATGACAAAAACTTTAATATGACTTTGTATGAAGTGGCCGCTGATTGTCCAGATGGGGGTTCTGCCTCTTTTTTACATGTAGCCTTTCAGACCTTAACTTGGTTTTACTCTCATGTTATCTTCCACAATCTGCCATGAAGTGTGTTTTAGCATCTGAATACAGCCATAGCCTTATCATTAAAAAGTTTATACAGTGAGGGAAGCTTGTACTCACACTGGGCACTTCACACCTGACCACACCCTGGCCCAGATTTCAGGGTATCGTTCAACCCAACGATAACAATCCTCTGCTTTTGTTGTGGATGCTTGGTGAACAGATCCATGGTATTAAATTCCCCTTATTGTGATTTTTTTTTTTTTTCCCAAAGAAACTGGCTGACTCTGACTCGCCCTCTGATGGCACCAGCAGCGAGGCCGGAACCAGGTCCCCTCTAGAGGAGTCCAGCACCTCTCTGAAGGAGCCCAACGTCTGTGAGGCTACAACAGGGACATGCACTCGTCTGGCAGAGTCCACCATCTGTGGAGAGGACTCTCGATCTGAGCCGTTGCCAACCACCTCTAGGTCGGTAACTCCCAGGCCTCGGGCGAAGAGAAGCAGAAGGATGCTCGACAAGTCTGCCAGTGAGGAGTCGGCTTACTTACTCCGGACAATCAGAAAAAGCCTGGAGGGTCTAGCTTCTGAGAAAGACACAGATGACATTGCTATGTATTGCAAGAACTTAGAGAAAAGATTGCGGAAGTTGCCTCCACATGTGCGGCCATATTTACAGCATGAGGTGGACAACTGCCTGTCTAAATATTTAGCATACCAGAGCCAGTTAACTCAGTTGTAAAAGATTGATATTCTTTTATTGTATGTCTTTAATTGTACATATTTTATTGTATTTATTGTATGCTGCTTTATGACTTTGTTATATTGACATAAAACGCTTTGACTTTAATAAAGAGAATTGCACATCTTTGGCAATATAGAAAGATAGATTTACTTTATTGATCCCAAACTGGGAAATTGTGGTGTTACAGAAGCAGGCTATCAGAGCCAATAAAACAATATAAGAATAAATAAAAAGTAAATAAGTACTAATAATATAAAGAATAAGAAGAAATAAACATCTCACAAAAAGTAAGGAAATGTGTCTTTGGTAGATTATTTCTTTGTAACAATGCTTCTTGGCAATGCATCTTACACCGCTGGAAAGCCTGTTTATTTCCCTTTTTAAATGGTGCCATTGGGGTGCTGGTGGCGCAGTGGTTAGAGCGCGCACCCCATGTATGGAGGCTGCAGTCCTCCTGGCGGGCGGCCCGGGTTCGGGTCCAACCTGAGGCTCCTTTCCCGCATGTCGTTCCCCACTCTCTTTCTCCCTGATTTCCGACTCTATCCACTGTCCGATCTCTCCAATAAAGGCACAAAATGGCAAAAAAATAAAAAATTGGTGCCACATTTGTAATAAAGATGCATTTGTGGATGAGCAGCAGAGCTGAGTATGTGGGTTGCACCCTTGAAAAACCTGCCAAATCTTCTCTGCCGGTTCTCTATTAACCGAAAAGACCAAGTGTTGTAAAGTGTTTGTGTTTTGCCTCCTAATTAATTATTGGATTGATAAATTCCTTTAACATGTGGAACTGAACAGGAAAGAGCCGAGCAACATTTTTAAAATGGGAGGTTTCATTAATCTCCAGCTCTCGACACAGGTTCAGGAAAGCCCCTTGAGCATGCCGCTGTAGTATCCATGTTTTCACCCATTTATTGCGGTTTCTTCTTATTGGTCGCCTTAATTTGTGTTTGCAGGATAAGTTGGTGTTTGTCTGCAGTATGGACTGTTCTCACGAGTTCAAGAAAGCTAACTTTGTGACAAGCCTGTGTGAATACTGTAAGATTGCAAAGATCACAAGAGACGTCAAGAGAATAAGCAACAAAGACTGCTTCTTCTGCAGCGACGGTAAGAGGACATCAGTTCATCAAAGTGATTTATTTGACTTTCCGAGGATTGTAACTGCACATTTTATAACAGTTATAAGCTTTTTTTTTGTATTTTAGAGGCCTGTGAATCGTCCATTGTGTCCCTAATCTTTTCCTCTTCTTCCCTTCAGGCTGTATGCTCCTCTTCAGACACGACCTGACTAAAAGCTGGGGGAAACACTGCAGCGCCTGCGTCTATTGCCACTCTACGTCCAAGAAGCTGGTGACGGCTCAGTACGGAGGCTCAACGGAGGAGTTCTGCTCCGAGGAGTGCCGGTCCAAATACACCATGCTCTTCTGTCATGTAAGCAAACCTCAGTGCCGTTTCTCAAAACCAAGGTTGGACTCAAACTCTGCAGATAAAGATGACAGTAATGATGTCACTGTTTTTCCTCTCAGGTTGCAAAGTGTGACACCTGCGGCCGTAAAGGAAAACTGAAGCAGAGTCTCCCCCTGCTGGGAGAGGTCAAACACTACTGTGACCTGACGTGTCTGCTGCAGTTCTGCTGTGAAAACGCGGCCAAGCCGAGCGAGACACTCAAAGGTGAGGATTATTATTTGTAGTTTTATTCATGTTTTTTTTTATCAACAATGTTGTAGGACATCAAAGTCATAGTCAGAGTGTGTTCTGGTGCTACAGGTGGAGGAGAGGACACTCCGGTCATTGCCAATGTGATGTCTCTTGCTGGTCCTCCATCAGCGAAATCCAGTGCTCCTGAGAGAATTACCCGAAGTAAACAGAAACACATACACACCAGATTTTTCAGCTTTGATAGAAGACTAGTAAAAATCAAACAATTTCCACACCACGGCAACAAAAATAGAAGTTCTAGACTTCCATCATTGGCTTATTTCTTGTTTTTATTTTTTATTTTACCAAATCATGCAGGCAAACTCCTTCACACATTTTGGTACGGAAGCTTTGCCAACAAATTTTAGATTGTGCTTACATCCTTTATGAATCCCCTGAGATAGTTTCTAGTTTAAAATTCTGTTAGTCAGAGACATGCTTCTCACACACTTAGGCCCAAAATATTAATCAGTGGAGAGATTTCAGAGTGGGGCTGCTACACAGGAAGCACACCATAGTGAGGTTCTGTGCCTTGCTCGACGGTACTCAGGAAGTGATCTGGCACCTCTCCAGCTACCAGACCAACTTCTATATTTTGACCCCAACCCATGTCCCTACAGACTGAGCTACTGCCGCCCCAGTAAAGTTTTGAAGCTTTGCTGCTTTTTGATACGATGGAATATTGAATTAATGAATTATTGAATTACACATCGTTTTAAAATATGTTGTGACAAAAAAAAAGTTTTTCTGGTAGGAATGTTCTTGTCTGATCTCAGAGATTGGTATCATATTAGCTCTTTTGAAACCAGTCTTATCCCTATTTTATGTCTTGTCAAAACTGATTTTCAAGATTTGTAGTAAGCATGTGCTGAGCGACGGCTCATGCTCAGCCCTTGCTGCACATGCACATCGTCTATGTCATTCCCCACTCCTCCTTCTTGAACAACGAAGCATCTCTTGGGTTCAAATTAGAACGACAAGTTCAGGATTGCTGACAAAAAGCAAATTACACTACTTCATTATTTTGTATGTCAAAGAACATGAGAGAAAAACACACTTTAAGTGTTGCTTCTGACTATGTCACGCTTTGTCTCCACAGGCACAGCGTCTAACTCTAAGAACTCCGGACATGTGAGTTTACATTGAATGTTGTCTGTTTTTATATCCAGTGAAAATACAATATAATATGTGCAAGCAGAAAAAAATGCTTGTGTTTAATCTTGCTCTTAAAGACACAGTACGTAAAGTCCGCTGCCAGGGAGCCCACAATCAAAACAATAACAAAAGATGACTTTGAGGCTTGCAGGGAATCATGGGAGTGATTCTATCCGCTCCTGTCTTTATATAAATCCACTTTTGATGATTTCTGCTGTGGATGAGGTTCATTTTTTGGTTTAAACATTTTCAATTTTAAGAGTTTTTAAATGTATGCCGTGTCTCTGTCCTTCAGATCAGCGTTCAGACGGATAAAGTAAAAACTCATCCTCCTCCTCCTCAAAAAATACTGAAGAACAAGGCCGTGCTCTGTCGACCGCTGGTGCAGAACAAAGGGGTCTCGTGTAAAACACAAACGGCGGACGTCGAAGCACAAACGGGTAAAGTCTACGCTGACAACAACATTTCTCGTCTCGGAGTCGCTTTGAGCCAGATAACCCCAGAAAACAAACACAGTAACTAAAGAAGTTCTGACTCCTGATAAGGTTACAATATTCAGTGTTACCAAGCTGCTTATTAGCATGCTAATTAGTTGCATACTGGCTATTATTAGTCATTATTAAGCGCTTATTAGTACCTTATTCTACATAAACACAGTCTATAACTTAATAGGTCGTTTTGCCCTCCTAATAACTGCTTATTGATAGTCAGTTAGGAAGTAGAACCTGTATTATGGTCTTAATGTGCTTTGCCTAGTTTGGCTCTTATAAGGTAGAAGTAAGCAACTTAGGTTCAGTGTGCAGAAATTCAGTTTTACTTCATTTAAATTTCTCATTTTAAACAATATGAACTTCACAAACCCACAGCAACCATCACAAACTGGAAAAAAGGCACAATAAAAAAAAAAAAACTTCTTGTTTAACCCACAGACCACACACGCAGGAGCTCAACCTCTGTTCTTTATACATCTTCAATTCAAAGTCTCTATTTGTTAATTACAGTACAAGTATACTGTTTTATTCTGAGCTGACATAACCTGACTTCTTATTTCCTGATGTTTTGGTATTTATAATTTAGATTGTATGTTTTTAAAGATCCCTGACGTTGTTTTTTCATACTTAATTTTTGTCTCTTTATAGATGACCTCTTTCCTAGACTCATGGTTGTGCCTATCCCAGTCCCGGTGTACATCCCTGTACCCATGAGCATGTACAGCCAGCTAACACCCAAACCTGTCGGCCTGCCGTTACCTGTACGTCAAACTCCTTCAGCTTCATTATTTCATCCTCTGGTTGTTGTGAAATGTCTATATTGGACAACAAATATGCTACTCAAACAAACATTGAGGCTGTTCTTCTTCTCTCTATCACAGCTACCCGTACCCATGTTCCTCCCTGTGACCATGGACAGCGCAGAACAAATCGTGGAAACCATCCAGGAGATCAAGCAAAAGATCCCGTCCGACCCCTACGAGGCAGAGCTCATTCTCATGGCTGAGATGGTCGCAGAAGACAGCGAGAAGAACAGCAAAGAGGAGAAACCGAAGGCGAAACTGATGGAAAAAGACAGAGCGAAACAAGAAGCACCAGCGCCAGAAGGTGAGAGAAACTGTCTGAACTGTAATGCATGAAATGTTTGAAGAGTTCTCGTTAACCTCTGGTTCGTTTCTCAGATCACAACAGCAACTACAGTGATGACATGGACACAGAAGATTTGGCCAGTTTCCTCAACAACTGGGAGGAGGCCTCGTCTGACGCAGGTCTCCAGTCTCCGAGTCGACCGTACGCCAATGAGAAGCTCAACCAGATCTAGACATTCCCGTTGGCATGCCCAATGAGCCTTACTCCGAGCCCCCACCTTCAGCACCGCCTCCCATGGACATCGAAGCAGACTTCACTGTTGGTGAGTTGGTGAGATTATTAAATCTAAAACGTGTCAATACTCAGTTAATTTGAGTTTTATATCTTTTTTTGCCTTTGTTATATGCATTAACTGGAGTTTTTTTAAGTGTTGCATTTCAAGCAATAGAAAAATATGAGAGGCTTTCAAACACTGGTTTGTTTCTTACTTGGTCTGGTGCTTTATGTGGTGTCATTGCTAGAAACTCTGGAGAGGATGGCCCGGCTGAGGGAGCAGTCTCAACGATCCCCGAGCCCTCCGCCTGCAACTTCACGGCGACGACAAGCTCACAGGAAAGCTAGAGAAAAAAGGGTAAGTGTACAAAGTCAGTCAAAAAGTAACTTTGTTGTTAAAATCATTTGTGTAGTGGTGATACGTCGGAAAGATATTTGCATTTTTTTTTTGTCTCATTTGAATCAATATCTCTGCTTCTTCCAAGGGTCGTAAGCCACAGCGTTCAAAGGCAGCTGAAGCATCGTCTAAGAAGGGCTCTTCCAACAAGAGCGTGGCTGTAGAAGTTCCAAAACTCAAGAGTCAATATGGAGTAGATGCCTGGAAACGGTGGATCCAGTGGAGGCAAACTCAGCCCAATGTGGAGAAGCCACGCTTTGGTTGTAAGTCAACAAAACCTTTTTTTTTTTTCAAACTTTTTTTTAGTAAACGTGCAGCAAGAAGAATAAACAGATTAATTGCTTTTCTTTTTGCAAAAGTGCCGCAACTAAGCACAGCTGTTTTCTTAGTACGTTCATATTAATTCTCAGACGGCGGCAGCTCCACATAAGACACACAGTCCGACATGCATGCACAAACACTCCCCACCCGGCTCCTCTGAAACCGTTTGCCTCTGTTACTACCTCCGAAGACTTTCTCCCCCCCTTCCCGACATTCAGATTGAAGGCAAAACATTACAGGGGCCGTAAATATCGCGGCTTGAAGCGACAGTCTACTCTACTAATTTTACTAAAAGTGTGAAACACCAATGGCTCAGACCAGAAAAACCTCTGGACACCACAACTTATCTCAACAAGAACAGGCATGAGGTAGGGGTAGGCGTCTAGACTAGTTGAAAAGTTCTAAAATCCAATTTTGACGACTTCTAACTTAACATATGTTACAGTTCCGTCAGGCTGGATGGACAGGGTAGTCAGACAAATCAGATTTCTGGATTCTTTTTCTCTTTTTTTGTGTTATAAATGTGTTTACCCTTTTTCTCCAACACCTTATATCATGGATTCCAGCTCGTCCAATGGAGTTGAAGGAGGATATTCTTCGGTGCACCACTGCTGAGCTCAGCTACGGCTTGTGTTGCTTCATCAGTGAGGTGAAGCGACCAACCGGAGAGCGGTATTCCCCTGACAGCCTGTTCTACCTCTGCCTCGGCATTCAACAGGTAAGACGTCTTTTACACACTTAACAGATAACAGGTAAGGTTTGCGGTCCTCTGTAAACATGAGTCTCATCTCTTTTGCCTCTCTTTAGCACCTGTTTGAGAACGGCCGTGTGGAGAACATATTTATGGATCGGTTCTACAATAAGTTCTCTACTGAGTTCACTAATATGCTGAGAGGTTTCAAACCTCAAATCACAGCAAAAGGTGAGTTATGCATCATTTTACTCAGTGTATGTCCTACAGAAGCATCTCGATTATTGCGTATTGATCAGAGGTATAACAGACCTCTCTCTGTGTTTCTTCAGGTTATATCCATTCCCGTGTGGAGGAGGAGTATCTGTGGGACTGTAAACAATTGGGGGCTTACTCCCCCATCGTCCTCCTCAACACTCTGCTTTTTTTCTGCTGCAAATTCTTTGGCTTCACCTCGGTGGAGCAGCATCGTCAGCTGTCCTTTGCCCACGTCATGCGCTGCACCAAAACAAACGCAAACAACACCAAGACCACTTATCTGCGCTTCTACCCTCCAATATCAATAAATGAGGCTGAATCAGGTATTGTTTCCACAAAGCATGTTGTAATACCATATATTTTACGCCCTTCTGTTTTGCCTCCAGACGCTCCTCTTATGTACTCACTCTAAGAGGCCCAGTGGTATTTTTAAGTAATAGAGAGGGAGAATCAGTGTGCTTTTTCTGGACCTCACTTTGAAATGAAGGAAAGTCTAAGGCCCCACGTCCACCTAGCGTTTTTTCCAGGCAGAAAAGCGGAAAGTGCTTGTATGAAGCGTTTGTGAAAGCACAGAAGGATATATTCAGGAAAATTATAGACAAAAATTGTGATCTTTTTATTCCTGGTGTTTCATTATATACTGCTTTCCAGTTGTATGCTCTGTGTCCCTTGACGCTGAGAATACGCCAAAGCATTGATATAAAGGTATCCACCACGCTTTCTGCAGCGTCTTTCTTCCATTACGCCCACTCCCCATCCCCCACCCACCCTCCAGTTTGACCAGGAAAACTTCCCGCTAAGAGGTGCATATGTGAATAATTACATGAGAAATTGTGTCAATGTGTTTTCTGCTGTTTCCCTCACAGATCCTGAAGTTCCAGCAAAAAAGAAAAAGGAGGAGGAAAATAAAGAGGCTGTCCTGGAGATGATTGAGAACACAGAGAACCCTCTCCGCTGTCCAGTCAGGCTCTATGAATTTTACCTCTCCAAGTGGTGTGTTGCCTGTTATATATTTCTTTATTTGATTCTGTGTTTAGTACTTTAATCAAACACAAGATATGCATATTGTTCGCCTCAGTTCTTGTTCATGTTGACATCAGCTAATTTCTTCCATTCAGCTCGGAGTCGGTCAAGCAGCGCACCAACCTGTTCTACCTTCACCCCGAGCGCTGCTGCGTCCCCAACAGCCCCCTGTGGTTCTCCTCCACCCCTCTGGATGACAGCACAATGGAGGCCATGCTCATTCGCATCTTAACCGTCAGAGAGCTACATCTCAAGACGTGGCAAGAGGGAGAGGGAAGCAGGCGGGGAAACCTGAAGATCCACCGTTTATACCTGACGGGGAGGAAGAGGAAGATTCAGAGTGATGAAGAGCAGTGAGAGCGGAAGTGACCTTTTACTGGTGCAGCAGCTTGTTGTGAAAATGTTTTTTTGATTAACTGAAACATTCAAACAAGAACCAATAAACACACATGAACAGAGATAAACATGTTAATACACACTTGTATACATGAATACAATGTACTGAACTGCAGAGGTCATGCTTTCAAAACTACATGTTTATCAGGAATCACAGAAGAAGAATTTGTCAAACGCAGTGTCCGGGTAAGTTGGACTCGGCTCAGCAGGATACTACTGCTCAGCCGGACACATGGCTGTCCTTTGGGGTGGGGGGTGGGGGGGGGGGGGGTTCTGCTGAATGGTTACTTGTCACGATCAACACTACTTGTTACCGTTCACATGTTATGATTCCTTAAGTCCTTGTGGAATTGTGGGTAATATTGTCCTTGTTTGAAATAACCTCAATGAAAAATGTTGTTTCAAGACAAACTGAAAATATCTTCTGTGAACCCTTTGTGTTCAATTTCAAACCTGCAGTTTAGTTTCATTTTTAACAATTTAACGTTGCCATTATTTACCTCTAGTGGAAGAGAAATTATCATATTTTTTTTTTATTCATGAGGATTGTTAAAAATTCATTCTTTAATTCATCGACGATCTCAGACGTGTTAGAGGCTGGTCCACCTTGCTATAGTGAAAAGTTGAAGATAAACTAACCACACAACCTAGTTTTTTTTTTTTTTTTTACTTATAAGATTATCCAACTTTGAAAGGTCACTTGATTGTGCGATTACTGTGATCTTTTACTTGTGTCCACTATTGCAAACAAAATGTAATGTACTGTAACTCAATATCCAGTAGATCTTTAGTTAAAGCGGTTTTGAGTTTATTTGACTACCATTAAGATAATAAAGCTTTCATTTATAGCTTCTATCACTATAAACGCTGATACTCTTTATACCACATTGGACAATTTTACAACCTTTTTGAGTGCCACTTGACCATAAAAATATCCAATACAGTCCCTTTGTGTAAACCTTGGTTATATTAACCCCCAGACCTTAGAAAATGGGCACCAAGGTTCTGAGTATTTTCTATTGCTTGTTCTTTTTTTTTTGTAATAAAAATATTTAAAAACGTTGTCAAATGTCTCAAAATGTTGTCGTGTTAATTAAACTGCAGATTTACAGGCTGTTAGCTGTTGAAACATTTCCCCTTTTCTGTAGGATGTCTGTACACTTTAATGAAACCTACAACCAGGTCCTCGTAAACCACATAAACCTGTGTATTCGTTGCTTTGTCCGTCCCCAAGGCAACCACGCACGCCGATTCGCTGCTTCTACGTTCTTGCCTGTGACGTTTCCATCAGTGATTGTAGCGACTGCAGCGTCAACGTCACGGGGTCTCATGCTGCATTCATGTGCTCTTCGGATTGTCCGCGATGTGAAGACTTCAGTGTTTTCACGTGATTGCAGGTCGGAAAGTCACAATGTTGTAGCCTCAAAACTAAAAAATAAAATAAAAACAAAAATAAAAAAGCGTGGATGCTACTAAGAAGATGTGTGAATGTCTCTTATGAGTTTTATGCAAGCCAAAAGTTGATGTGCAATACGTGAATGAATAAAAATAATCTTTAAATTTACAAAGACAGATTGAAAAATACTTTTTTACCTCCTGCAATTGCACTTTATAACGACTCCCGTTAAAGTTAGGACAGAAGACATTTAAACTTTTAAACTTTAGCCTGAGCTGCATATATCAAACTGTATTTTGCACCTGTACACACTTGACTGCTTTTTTTATAATAATTCTTTATTTATCTATCATACTATGCACTGGCAGAGCTAGTACTTTGTACTGTTATCTATGAGTAACAGCTACTTATGCACATGGACCATCCATACCACTTTTTTATCCTGGCTATGTATTGTGGGCTCATGTTTTTTTGTATGGGTGGGATATGTATGTATATATGTGTTGTGTTGTGTGTTTGTATGTTTGCTGGCTGCTGGAACATCTACATTTCCCTGCTGGGATGAATAAAGTTGATCTTATCTTATCTTTATCTAAAAACATATTTTTTCCAGTGTTATTAGAGTCAAGTGCAAAGTGTTTTTACAACTCGGGAACTCGTTTTTCCGATGTGTCTGACACCACGCGAAGGCACCATCAGGAAAGACGATAGACACAGGAAAGATGGTCGCCACTGTATTAGCTTCAATTGATACTCTTCTTGCTTCTACTGTGGGATGTTAAAGCAAAACAGGTTAACGTCGCTGTTTAAAAGAGATATGCATATTTATCGAAATATATTCATCTCAGTAACTATGGTCAAAGTGTTTACTAACTTCTAGCATGCATTTACAACTTGCTTGTTGGTTCCTGTTTGCATGCTGGTAAGGCATGTGTGCAGAAGTTACTTAGTAAACAACAGTGAGAAACAACTCTTATCTGTTGACTAACACTTCCTGTTGCTTTGATGCATTTTTTACAGAACTGCAATACAATAAAATACAGCATAGGGACTAAAATATTCATATTAATCAGGCTTTTGTTTGCTCTTTTTTTTTTTAAATTGTCAGTGTGCTTAGCAGAAATTATATTACCCCAATCTAAATCAGTATCTTTTATATGTTTTCTAGCTGTCATGGAGAACGAGAGACCACAACTGACTCCGGAGCAGGATGCCCTGGAGCACATATTTGCTTGTAAAGACAAACCCTTCCTGGAGGGGAGGTACATTGATGCCTCTAAAGGTAGGAGGCATTGCTACAATAGCAGTCTCTATGTTGATTATTATGTAGAATTTCATGCAATTTACAATCAGCTCTGATACTCATTTATTCTTTTTATCCAGGGAGAGGACTGTTCACCCTCAAAGCCATTGACCCATCCATGTTTGTCGTTGAATATCGAGGGAACATCTATTCTGTCAAAACCACAACACCTAAAAAGGAATGCCCTGATTCGCTGATCAATTATTTATTTGAGTTTTCATGGAGTGGAGCACAGTGGTGGTAAGTTGTTGACTTATATTTTATGTATTTTAAGAGTGGTCATTAAAAGAACGATTAGATTTTCATTAAGACGCCTTTCACTCGCAGCATTGACGCTTCAGCCGAAGACCGGACCCTCGGTAGACTTGTGAATGACGACCACATCAGCCCCAACTGTGAAATGAAGAAAATAGTGATTGAAGGAAAGCCACACTTGTGCCTGTTTGCAGTGAAGAAAATATCTTTAGGACAGGAGATAACTTTCAATTATGGGGACTCGTCTTACCCCTGGCGCTCCACGGTAGGTTTTTAAAGCTTTGTAGTCTGCATAAGAAGTTTCAAGGTTATTTACGACCAAAATGGATGCAGATATATTTGCAATGGTGCCAGAACAACGCCTGGATCTATTTTAATTGATATTTCTGTTGATCACATGATAACATAAGTGTCTCTGTCCACTTGGTCTTGTTCTTGAGTGGGCTTAGGATGTCACTTTAACTTCAGAGTAGGTGATCTATGAACGCTTCTGTGAGGACATTTCATTTGGGTTAACTTTTGCAATCTCTGTGGACGAAGTGGTATAAAAAATGTCAATCGATCTGTGTGTTTTAGTCAAGACCACACTAATCTAGACCAAGACATACCGGAGACCAGAGTGCTCCGAGACCGAGACATTTAGGGATCCAGGCCGAGACAAGACCAAGTGTCTTGTGGTCAGATTTAAAATCCAGAGTGCGCTCAGTCTGAGACTGAGACAAGACAGAGGAAACATGCTTTTGACTCTGAGACGAGACCTTAAAATAGAGACTGGTCTCGAGACTGCTTCAAAAAAGAGAGGCTTGGGGGCGCTGGTGGCGCAGTAGTTTGTGCATGCACCCCATGTATGGAGGCATTGATCCTCCAAGCGGGCGGCCCAGGCTCGAATCTCACCTGTGGCTCCTTTCCCGCATGTCATTTCCTACTCTCTCTCCCTGATTTACAATTCTATCCACTGTCCTGTCTCTCCATTAAAGGAACAAAAAGCCAAAAAATAAATCTTTAAAAAAAAAAAAGAGAGAGGCTTGAATAAATTACAAGTGACCCATTGTGACGAGGCCAATTCAATCAACCAAATTATTTACAGAACACCTTTCAGACAAATCGATGCAGAACAAAGTTCTTCACAAGGGAGTGGAAAAGTGATTTTCTTTCTTATCGATCGATCTACAGGAGTCCTTTGATGGATCCAGTTCTTCATACACTAACGTTTGTGCTTCTACTTCTACACCAAGAAATAAAGGGGTATGTGACCTTGTTAACTGCTTCAACAAACTGTCTTCATTGACTCAAGGAAACTGCATCATAAATGCTGTTCTCACACATTTCTTAAGATCACTCATGTATGTTTATAGGAACTTTCTTACCTTGGGTTGTTTCAGATGTGGTGTCAGGTTGATCCTGTTTCTTCTGGAAGGAGACAGAATAGCTGTTTCTTGATTAAATAATAATCTTTTTAGTCCTTTCTCATTGTTGGTGTTTTTGTGTTTCCAGCTTGAAGACTGGGAGGCAGCGTCCTCTGACAATGATGATGATGACCTACGTGACAGTGGACCAAGTTGTGACAGAGACAGTTTTTCCAACACCAGCAGTCAGATGGATTTTGTGGATGATTCATCTTTAAGAGATTTAGTTTACCCTGAAGAGATGACAGGGAAGTCAGCGATGCCTCCAGCCAATGCTTCATGCTCCCGAAAGGACAAGAAGGCTCCTTTGAGCTCTGATAAGCCCGACGCGGATGGAGAGTACGCCACTAAAAGTTTTTGTTATTTTTGTGGTAAAGCTGCTAAAAAAATGGCACGGCATCTTTCGAGGCATGTTGAGGAAGATTCCAAACTCGCTGAAGCTTTTTCTTTACAAATAAATTCAAAGGAACGAAATAGGATACTAGCGGATTTTCGTAACAAGGGGAATCACAAACATAACCAGGAGGTGTTGAAGAATGACAGTGGGGCATTAAAATTGAGAAGAAGACGGAAAAATAAGGGGTCCAGTTCTAAAACATTCCTGCACTGTATGTATTGTAAAAGCTTGTTGATGCGTAAGGAAATGTGGAGGCATGTGCGCAGATGTCCCGCGAGGAGCACATCCGACTCTGCAACAAGTGGCAAATCAAAAGTCCTCGGGGCCATGGCTGTCGCTGAGGCTCCGTTAGCTCAAAATCTATCGGCCGATGTGAAGAAGATACTCTCAGATATGACACAAGACAGGATTGCATTCGCAGTTCAAAATGATGTCCTTCTAATAAAGCTGACTGAGCATCTGTCTGCCAAGTATAGAGATGATCCAGATAAACGCCAATACATCAGACAGACGCTGCGGGAAATGGGACGACTTTTGTTAGCACTCCATGAGAAGTCAATATCAAGCTACCAAGATGCAATCAAACCCACTAACTTCTACAAAGTTGTCGATGTTGTCAAGAAACTCGCTGGATTCAACGTCAAGAGGAAGAGCTATGAGAAACCAAGTCTTGCTTTGAAGTTCGGATATTCACTTAAAAAAATAGGTGCCATTGTTGCTGAAGCGGAAGACTTGGACGAGCAGATGAAAGGGGACGCTGAAAGATTTGTGAACATGTGCACAGAGGAGTGGACGGAGCTCGTCTCCCGCACAGCCCTCGCATCGTTGAAAGGACAAAGAATCAACAAAGCGTCTACGATACCGTTCACGCGTGATGTGCAGCTTTTCTACAGGTACATTGAGTCAGCATCAGTTTCTGCCGTCAAAGGCCTGAAGAGCAAAGAAAGTCAGCAGGTCTACACCGCACTGTGCAGAGTGACTCTTGCACGAGTGTCAGTCTTGAACAAATGTGCCCCAGAGGTTTCAAAAATGACTCTGAAGGCGTTCCAGGAGCGGGACGACAGTACCCAAGTGTTGTCCAAGCACTTCATCAGAATAAACATGGAGAACATAACCGGCCAGAACATTTCTCTCCTGCTGACTTCTGATCTTGTCAGCGCAATAAACCTCCTTGTGAGCAAGAGAAATGCATGCGGGGTACACAAAGACAACCCTTTCTTGTTTGCAATGCCGAACTCTTCACCTACAAGTCTTTTCCACAAAGGACACAACATCAGGGCCTTTTCAATTCTGTGTCGTGCAAAGAA